CCATATCCCCTCCCTCTTGCACCTCCTTCCACCCTCCCTATCCCACCCCTCTAGGTCCTCACAAAGCACCGAGCTGATCTCCCTGTGCTGTGCAGCAGCTTCCCACTAGCCATCCGTTTTACATTTGGTAGTGTACGTATGTCACTACTGCTCTCTCACTTCGTGCCAGCTTCCCCTTCCCCCCATGTGCCCTCAAGTCTGTTCTGTACATCTTTGTCTTTATTCCTGCCCTGCCACTAGGTTCATCAGTACCGCTTTTCAAAATTCCATATATGCACGTTAGCATAAGGTATTTGCTTTTCTCTTTCTGACTTACTTCACTCTGTATGACAGATTCTAGGTCCATCCACCTCACTACAAATAACTCAGTTTCGTTCCTTTTTATGGCTGAGTAATGTTCCATTGTATATATGTGCCACATCTTCTTTATCCATTCATCTCTCGATGGACATTTAGGATGCTTCCATGTCCTGGCTATTGTAAATAGTGCCACAATGAACATTGTGGTAAATGTATCTTCTTGAATTATGGTTTTCTCTGGGTATATGCCCAGTAGTGGGATTGCTGGGTCATATGGTAGTTCTATTTTTAGTATTTTAAGGAACCTCCATACTGTTCTCCATAGTGGCTGTATCAGTTTACATTCCCACCAACAGTGCAGGAGGGTTCCCTTTTCTCCACACCCCCTCCAACATTTATTATTTGTAGATTTTTTGATGATGGCCATTCTGACCGGTGTGAGGTGATACCTCATTGCGGTTTTGATTTGCATTTCTCTAATGGTTACTAATGTTGAGCATCTTTTCATTGTATTTGTTGGCCATCTGTATGTCTTCTTTGGAGAAATGTCTATTTAGGTCTTCTGCCCATTTTTGGATAGGGTTGTTTGTTTTTTTGATATTGAGCTGCATGAGCTGCTTGTATATTTTGGAGATTAATCCTTTGTCAGTTGTTTTGTTTGCAAATATTTTCTCCCATTCTGAGGCTTGTGTTTGCTACTACCTCAACAGAGAACTTTGCTGGCTGCTAACAGGTTACAAATCAGCCTGGACCATAAATAGATCACTGTTTATGGTAGGGTTCTGGCATGTATTTATTTAGTATAAAGTGTGCATTCACTGATCTACTAATGGTGTGAACCAAGTACTGTGGGATCAGAGAGAAGGAACAGATCCTCCAGGTGACCAAACAGGGATGGCAAGGAAGGGTTTATAGAGGATTTCAGATTTAAGCTGGCTGTTGAACACTAGGTTGAATTTTATAGAGAAAGTTGTAGAGTGCATGGCAGAGAGAAGAAATGGAGCACAAAAACAAAGTCTCTGAACATGAGTGCACTGTGATTGTTGGGTATAAGCTTAGGAAGGTGAGATGGATCTCGTGTAGAAAGCCCTGTTGAGAAATTTGATCTCTGCCTTAAAGGTCATGTGGGACCATCACGGGAAGGGGAGTTCCATCATCATAGCTATGTTTTAAGAAAGTAGATTTTATGAAATTTGAAATTGAAAGGAGAAGAATGGTTAATTAAAAGAAGGAAGGCATCAAGTATGTCATCAAGTTTTTTCAACACTCAGTGACAGATTAAATGAATAGCGACCTTCTCCGGGATAAAAGAATCCAGGAAGAGGAGTAAGTTTGTGAATAAAGGTGATGAATTTGCTGTGGAACGTATTTCATTGATATAACTGTGGAAAATACAAATGAAGGTATTCAGGTGATTGGAAATGCCTTTGCATTCCAGGGAAAAACGTCTTATTCTAAATTCAAGTTCTTCCATTAAAGCTCACGCTTTGTGTCAATATTACCAAACTGTTTACATGTGATTATTATTTAGTGCATCTGTTCAATAAATATTGGTTTAAACATTATGAGGACACATGAGAAGTGCAGTTAATTCTGATGTTTTTGTGAAGATGAGTGATTAGGAGGGTGCAAGTGTCATGGATTTGGTGGAATTTACTTTGGATCTTAAAGGATGAGTGGAAGTTCACCTGGCAGGTCTATGTCCTGGTAGTGAATGGAGTGAAGTTGTGAACTGAGACAGCAAAATAATGCCCTTTAAAATGTGGACCGCATGAAGAATTTACTCTTCTTTACCTTTCTGTGTGTGACAGATTAGCCTTTCTTAATGCTTTGCCATCCCATCAGAATCTTCTGTATCCTAAAAACTAAATTAGAGCTACATACATAAAGTTAATTCAGCTAATATTTGCCTTAACATATTTTTAAAACACCAACAGACACACGGCCTAAAAAATGAATTGCAAAATGGTAAATTATTGTCTGATATTTTAAACAGATGCTTGAATTACAATCTATCAGGAAAAAAAGGTACCTAGGACCATATATTAACACTTTACTATCCAACTGTATAAAAGGCGGGGGGCGGATAAATTGGGAGATTGGGAGAAATAGAAGACCCTATCCAGAATGAAAACAGTGAAATGGAGATATTTAAACACATATGCCAGTAGTTAGTTCATCCTTTTCAAAGAAGCCAATAATACATATTCAGGAAACTTCCTGTATGCCTCAGAATGCTAATAAAATGGTCAGCATAAATACATATGCCCTCAAACTTAAAAAGTGTTGTTTTCTTGGTAACTGGGAGTGGATTACCTGTCAGGAATGATGTGGGTGAAGTTTCCCACATCTGTCCACCATGGACTAGTTAACCATACAGGGCCACACTGCTGACCGTCCTATATTTTGCCTCTCTCCACAATCTGGATCATTGTTGTCCTTCACACATCTACCTATGAGAGAACCAGTGTGTTTATGCACAGCAGGAGATTAACCGGGGCTCAGATAATCTGGGTTCTAGGACCAATACTGCTGATGTCTACTTTGCTGGCCTTAAGCACGTCATTTAGCCTTAGCATACTTGAGTTTCCTCATCTATTAAATAAACTGCAGAAAGTCATGGATCCTCCTGACATTTTATAGCAAATAAACACTTGCTGGTATATTTTTTCAGGGAGAGATCTGGGGTCTACCAGTCAGAGTTCTTTCTTTTTTTTTTTTTGTGGTACGTGGGCCTCTCACTGTTGTGGCCTCTCCCGTTGCGGAGCACAGGCTCTGGACACGCAGGCCCAGCGGCCATGGCTCACGGGCCCAGCCGCTCCACGGCACGCGGGATCCTCCCGGACCAGGGCACGAACCTGTGTCCCCTGCATCGGCAGGTGGACTCTCAACCACAGCGCCACCAGGGAAGCCCCACCAGTCAGAGTTCTTGATTGCGTACAACAGAAACCAAGGTCATTAACTGGGATGAAAAATCATTTTATTAGAAGAGTTTAGGCTCAGAACACAAGCTTGGACAATCAGCTCACGCAGCACCCCAGCGAAGCAAGGCACTGCCGAGAACCAGCCCCTGCAGCCATCACGTTTAAACTTCAGCCTCTGTGTGCCGAGCTCTACTACCCCTGGATGCTCACTGCTATGCTGTTACACTTGGCATTCTGCCACAGCCCTGTGCCTTGCTTTCACCCTCATGAATCCAAGCCCCGGCCAAGAGCATCTGGCGTGTCTCTGTTCTGTCTGCCGGTCCATAGGAAGAGGGGTATCATTGGGGAAAGAGGAGGGGCTCTGACTCCTGCTGAACTTGGCACTGCCTCCAAGTTGGAGGAGAGATGGGTTGAAGCGTGGCCAGAACAACATTATCTATCGCCATATCTTTCACTGGATTCTCAAATGGATCATAACCCCACCATTTCTGCCACAAAAGATTATGAGTCACTGCATTAGATTATCTTTAATTACAACTCTGAAATTATATGATTCTAAATACTAGTTTTTCTTTCTTCCATCATATCCCAGCTCAGAATTTCTTTAACGAGATACAAATGCAGCAACAGAATGACTAACAACATTGCAGGGTCAGCCCTGAAGTATCTTATGATCATTTCAGTGGGTGTGTAATTATGATGGTTGGGATAATGACAGAGAGTAACAGATGTCTCGGAGTAGTCACTCAGCTGAATTTCTGGCAAACCAGTACCAATTCCTCAGAAAAAAGAAATGTACTTTCTGGTGCTGCATTATGAGTATATTAAGATACAATATGGCTTAATGTTTAGATGCACAAACTTTAAGTGTAATGAGAATGGATATAAATTTTGAATCTGTCCCTTAAGAACTGGTTCACCAGGGAAAGTAACTTGGCCTCAGTATGTCTCCATTTCCTGTTTAGTAAAATGATAGTGATAATGCTAGTCAATGTGTGGTATTATGAAAACAAAATGACAGAATTGAAGGAATTATAGTGTTTGAGGCATAGTTACAGCTCCAGAAATAATAACAAATAACAAAAGACATAAAGATAAAGACTTAACTGTTTATAAACATAAAGATAAATAGTTAAGAAATCCCCAAACTATGAACCAAACTCATTCCAAAACATGTTTATACTTTTCAACTTTAAGTCAAGGATAATAAGATATTTAGGACATGCACTCGGACATGTGTTCCATGTTGAAATGACTTCTATGAACTCAAAAATTGATGCCAAATCATCACTAAAATATCAGTTTGAAATGTACCTATGAACATTTTTTTTCTGATGTGGCAGACAGACCCACACTAAAAATATTTTTTTAAATGACCACATTATGGCAAATTATGTCAAAATATATAAAATTGACTCAGTTATGTTAAATGGCCTCATCATAAGTGGAGTATGAAATACCCAGAGAGTTTAATAGTTGGATTATTCTTCAAAAATGAATGAAACAAACAAAAAAATGAATGAAACAGAAAGTGGAAAGTAGAAGATGGGAACGACATGAGCCAGGAGTTGTCACTTCAGCTCCCACCGACCTCCTTGGCATTTGTGCTTGACCTTCAGCTTAACCTTAGGGAGGTAGGAAAAGGTATTTGCTGAGCTATTATCAGCCACAGACTAGAACTGATCCAGGAAGTCTAATAGGATGCTTGCTTCCTTTCAAAGCCTTCCTGATTCTGTGAGCCTCCTACTGAGTGCACTCTGCCTTTGTGTTTTGCAGGTAAGTGTGAGTGTGGCGAATGCACTTGCTACCCACCGGGAGGCAGCAGGGTATATGGCAAGACGTGTGAGTGTGACGATCGCCGCTGCGAAGACTTGGACGGCGTGGTCTGTGGAGGTGAGCAATTCTCACAGCCCTCTGCTCCCTACGTGCAGCCTGCTTCACCTGCCTTTCTTATCCTACTTCTTCTTTTTTAAAAAAAATTCTGTTACAAAGAAGATAAACAAAAAGCAATACACAATTAGACCTAAAAGCAGTATACTGTTAGGTTTGTAAGGACCTTGGACTCTTGATTTAATCCACGTGTATGTATGTGACAGGATAAAGCATGCTATTGATAAAAGATGGTGGAGACTAAACCAAGTCCTCTGAAGACAGTGAAAGGGTTTGCTTCAACCAGTTTACAGTTTTGATTACTGATAAAAACGGATTGGGGAAGTAAGTATCACCTGAGACTTGGAAAATAAAGCAGTAAGACTATATTCCAAGTTAATTACACAATCACAAGAGATACACACTCAGTTTCCATGATGGCTCTGAGACCCCAAAACAAACTTACTGAAGTAATAAACAGTGCAAAGGAAGAATGAGGTAGATGAGGGTTGTCACGAAGCTTAACACAGCAGAAAGGAGAGTCCCAGCGGTAGAACGTTGCCAGTGTCCACCTGAGCTTCATCCAGGGGAGGGAAAGAGGGTCACCAGGGAACTGAAAGGGGGTTCAGTCTTGCAAAGCTCCATATTGTAGAGAGGGTGCGTGCCGATTGCGGTTCCTTCCAGGTTTCCAGGACAATTGAGGTGAACTGGGCGTGGAATCACACTAAAAGAATATAACTATATCTCTTTAAGATAATTATCATAATGCAGTTGGGCACTATTATTGGGGGAAAAGCCCGCACATGTACGTACAAGTGATGGAAGGCTGGCACACCACCCATCTCTATCATCTCTCTGACCTCTATGTATATCTATCTAGCTACTCTCTCTCTAACCAACTATAAAACACTTGGAATTTGATCAAAAATATTTTCTTCTTTCCTTTCTCTGTGAGCCAAGGGAAAAGGCCCTTTTTAATAACTGTTGGGCCGGGTGGTTTATCTCTCGCAGTTCCCGTGATAGACATCCTCAGAGATAGTTCCTGCTTTTCTCATTTCACAAATGGAAAAGTGAATGAGGTTTGAGGTGTTAATGTCCCATAACTGAAAAGTGCCAGACTCAGGGTTGGAGCTGTGGAGTTCAGTTCACAGATCTCTCTCTAAACCACAATTTCCCCCAGAGTGATATCCCACTGTTTTGACTTTATGTCAATATTATTTTTAGTTTAGAGTCTCTTTTCACTCGTGTTAGTTATCAGACATATCTAAACAGATTATAGTCGTTTTTATTGTTGTTGTTAATTTCTTGACATTTTACAAACCTGTCATATCTACATATCCATTAAATGACCAGTCCCCCCTTCCCCCAGCGAATCTCTCTTTCTCTCTATCTTTGGGGAGGGAACCAAAGATGAAAGCAAATCTATATATCTGCTTGTTAGAAGAGATCAAATGTTTACTAGGTAAGTGAGAAAGCATCTCACAAAGTGATAATTTTTTAGACTAATTCTTGACTCCGTGTGTCTACACTCTGGATTTGTCCATCTGCCCAGAGTCCTCTGTGTCCCAGAGGGACCTGACCCCCATTAGCCAAACTAGTAAAAGACCAGTGTACAAACCAGAACACCAATTACTTGAAATACAATCAGAAATATAATTGCCCCAGAGACTAGAATTTTTTTTTGTAGAGAAACTCTATGAGAAGTAAGAATCTGAGATAAGGATTTGGATGCAAGTCCTTGGAAAGGGGAAGGAGTTTCTGGTAGGAGAGTGGGAAAGTGTGGCATGGAGGAGGGGCAGCCGATTAAGACTGTGCTGTCAACCCAGTTACTGCTGTGGTCAACTGGAGCTTCATCCCAGCACAGAGGATGGAACTCTAGGAGCCCGAGTAAAACACACAATTCTTATATCATCAGTCATTGGTTGAGGATTGCTTCTAGGAGACGTTAACTGCCAGGCCACATCCAGCATGCCTCACAGGTACAGGATCAGAGCAGGCTTCTGCAGTTGGAGAAAACCTCGGGGCAGAGAATCCAGGGCATGCCGAGTGAAAGTCATCATAACAGAAAGGATGACGTTGCTGGTGGACCCCTGCAGCTGCCAGAATACACGTGCAGAAGGACCGCAGCTCTCACACTGGGTGGTCTATCCTCTCTGGATAGTGCAGATTCTCATTCTTTACCACTGGCTAGATTTTGCTACCGACAATCCATCCTCTCTTTGATTGGATACAGGATGTGGCACAGTAGACTAGGCAGTAGCTGGAGACAGGCTAATATATCTTATCCTCCTGGTAGAGGCTTGGCTACGATTTGGGAGATCCTTGCTTACACATTTAGAGATTAATTCTTAGATGGTTGATCTTCCCAAATATAGATGATATTGGAACATATTTATCAGAGCACAAACGTGTTTTCAAAGTTGGGAAAAACTTTGCTGCTTCTCCTGTGTCAGCTAGCAGCCAACAAATATTAGTACAATAGTAATCAGATAAGCAAAGCATCTTTGATCTCTATAATTGGATGGATTCTCTTGGTGTTTCTTCTTAAATTTTAGCAACCAGCTCTAGGAAATCACCTATGCATTTTAATTTCGTATTTTAGATTGCATTAAAGACATTTTACTGACCGAAAGATCTTGGAACATTTTTCAAGTAGGTAAAGGAAACACACCTTGGAAATTTTTCTTGAAAATATTTTGTGTTGTTATTCTTAAATTTCACTTTGACATTCAGATAATGTCCTTGAGAGATTTAGGGTTAAGATAATACCAGTAATTTCTTTCTTTTTTTTTTTGGCTGCATTCGGTCTTCGTTTCTGCGCACGGGCTTTCCCTAGTTGTGGCGAGCGGGGGCTACTCTTCGATGCGGTGCATGGACTTCTCATTGCGGTGGCTTCTCTTTGTTGCAGAGCCTTGGCTCTAGGCACGTGGGCTTCAGTAGTTGTGGCACGTGGGCTCAGTAGTTGTGGCTCGCGGGCTCTAGAGCGTGGGCTCAGTAGTTGCGGCACACGGGTTTAGCTGCTCTGTGGCATGTGGAATCTTCCCGGACCAGGGCTTGAACCCATGTCCCCTGCATTGGCAGGTAGATTCTTACCACTGCGCCACCAGCGAAGTCCAATACCAATAATTTAAAAGGTTGTCTGTAGGTAACAGCGATTGGCTTCACTTACCTTCTCCTGCTTCATCTGAGCTCTGCAGCCCAGTTGACAGTCTGGAGCCTTAAATTCTGCCACAGGTTCTGCACTAGGGCCTATGCACACATCTGTACACATTTCAGTGTGTAGTTTTTTTGTGACTCTTTACTCTGATGGTCAGTCCTATTGCTTTGAGGGGGATAGTTCCAGGAAGGAGAGGGAGAGAGATGTCCCCATCAGTGGTCAGCTCATGTGTATCTGAAGTGACATGTAGCTAGAAAAGCTGCACATAGTTTACAGTCCACACTGATGCTCTGTTGGTGTTCCTCAACAAGATAAGTCTAGTCTTGGTATTCGTGGTGGCTGCGGTCTATAAAGTTGTCTTGAACAGGGATTTGGCAAATACTGACTCACTGCTCCTGAGGGAAATACGGGACTAGCTAGGTTCCTGCCTCTGTTTGCAGCATTTTTATCAACCAATCAATACATAACCTTGTTTTATGTGTGTGTCTATGTAAAGACATATTGTGTCATATGTAGTTGATTTATTAACATTGAACTCGGCCAACAACCCTATAACTCACGCCTGAATGAAGATTATTTGGCTCACGGATTTTCTCCGTAAGGCATATCGCAGCCTTTTTTGCACTTAGGGACACTGGATAGCACTTCAGCACTGTACTTGGGAGCCATCTAAAAACATTGAAATCACCAACAAAAAGCACAAAAATGCAAAATGTACAGCACCAAGTATATTGGGAAAAGGACACTTGTTTACAGTGTAAGAGCTGAACAAAGAAGGCAGAGTGTGACCTTCTTTGATCTTTGCTGGGAATGTGAACCTCAGGCAACTCAATTTTTTCACCATTCGGCCCGTGTTCTCAAATGACCTGGAAAGCTTCTCGAGTGTTGATTTCAGGGATACAAATAAATTTTAGCGAGTAGGCAAGTTATCAAATATGAAATCTTCGAATAGTGAAGATCAACTGTAATTCATGTTCTCACGGGAAACATCACCTCCCGCGTGAGTTTTGCACTTGGCCTCCAGTACTCAAGGTACTGTGATTTTTAATTCCTCTATTTTCTGAGCACTGCTTTATGGAAGGAATTATTTGAGCCTTGGCTATTATAGCCTTGAATTTCATTTATGTCTCAGCTGCTCTCTGGACAGAAATTACAAGAAACATGCCATTAATTAACAAGTTTGAACGTAAATAATTTCAGTGTTAAAGTATATGACATAGTAAACCTGCTGATAAGGGGATCACAGGTTCCTTTCACAAACATTTATGTAAATGTACTTAACTATTTAGAAATGTAAGTGGCAATATAGTACAGTAGTTAAGACTACAGACATGAGGCTTTCTTGGTTCCAACCTTGGTTCTGCCACTTACTCCCCATATGACCTGAGGCAATTTACATAACCCCCATTTCTCACCTATAAAAGATGATTATAATATATGTCTCTTGTAGGGTTATTGTGAGATTAAGTGAGTTAATGTGTATAAAGTACTTAGCACATGTGTCATATGTATATACATTAGATATTATTATCATTAGTGTTATATACCTATAGAGAAAATGATAGACATAACCTCTCAGGTGGAATTTTATGCTGTGGATTCCAGTAAACTCTATGCGACACAGAACAGAGCTCCACGTTTGCTTGGTTATTCCTTTTGTAACCACAGTTTATTCAGAACTGTGACTGTCTTGTCTTCAATTTTGGACGGCATAGATGAATTCTCCTGTCTGTTGTTTTTGCATGGTGCAGTTTCTATCCTCACACTTGCCACTGAGCTACCAAATCAAAGTGGCCATATGCATCTCAGAAGTATTTTTAGTGGCTCTTACTCAGCAGGGCACCTTCCATGGAGAAGCTTCTCATGG